AAAAAACAAACTCTGTCCACTGTTGAAATGTGATTAGGTTGATTTCATTAGTAGATATCTTAAAGTCTTTGAATGATTCCTTCGAATAGATAATTAATATTATAAATACTCATGCTGTGCCACATAAACGATCACTAAACATTTAATGAATCAACAGTGAGCTAATAATGTTCATTAAACATGATTTAGTAGCTCATGATTGGTACATTCAATTTTAGTGAACCATTAAATTAATCCATGTTTTATGCAACTCAGCAATCGACATTACTCATTATTATAATGCTGTTATCATTAAACAAAAAAAAACAATAGAAAACCTAGTTATCAACGTGAAAACCGCTAGCAGACTTTGAAAATCAAAATTGTTTTTACCATAATAATATTATGGAATATATACTTTTTTGTGTTTAAAATAGTTAACAAAACTTTCAATAACAATGATTTAAATGACGCATATTATTTATATTTATTTTCACATTATTAAATAACATGACTTGAAAAGTTGCACAAGTACACATTATTATTGAATACTTAAACATTACAATTGGATACTACAAATACATTGAAGTAGGTATTAACTTCATTTTTATCCTAAATTATGTCAAGTAATTTAGTCTTGAAATAATTACACAATCTGTTGGTTATGCACACGCTACAAACATATTCAAGACGTAGTCGCCCCTGTTTTTGTTTTCCCAGTACTTTAATTAATTTTATGCTAAATTATTATGGTATAGTTAGACTGTTTTGAGCTTTAATCAAACACTTCAGCATCTTAACGGTTACATAAAATCTATTACCCTAAATTATATTTTGGGATTTCCATAAAAATCATAAAACTTATTATTAATCTGTGTGCGTATTACTATACATAGAGCTGTTCCAAGACTAAAATTTAATAATATGAACTAATATATTATATTATTAAGTATGTACTTATATATAATATTATACTCAGGAGTCAGGATATTAGAACACTGTACTGATATATTGGTTTTGTAAATTCTAAATGTATTGTTGACTAATAATATATGCTACTTTATTTGCACTAAAAAGTATTAAAATTGTCTACGTCAATTTTTCGAACATAATTTTTAATAATTAGTAAGACTTTCAAGTCATCGAGTAAGTACAGTGTACACACATTATTATAGTTAAGTGGCATATTTAATATTTCGGTTCATTTTTCTCAGCTATATTGTTCGATAGAATGAGCCAAACGTGGGCTTGAACATTCACATACATTTCACTCGGTAAAATAAGATTATGTGTCACCATTCGGCATTCTCAATAGTCAATAATATAAGTAAACGCCAATGATTGTACAGATAAATTGTCTTCCCGCCGTACAAAGGCTGATCAAATATTTCTAGGCGATCGGGGCGGGTAAATGATAATGCTACAATAATGTATTGATCATCTGACCACGTACCTTCAATTACATATTCTATTCACCAAGGATTTCGTCCTTTAAACACGACACACCACAGAAACCACACGTCATTCATCGTGTATTACCTATAATAATAATATGATATATTGTACAGCGTTTCGAGTCTCGTCCCAAACGCGGCGGTGACTTCGCAGTCCCGCACACCCGCCGGTTTTGTGTACAAAACGCGTTACCCACCCGAGTCGATATAAATTTGTATTATTATTATTTTCACACCGCGTCATACAACATTAATTTTATATCAGTTTTTCCACAATAATGGTATACATTGTCCACTGTATGGGGGTACCTCTTATACATAATATAATATATATTATATATTATGTGTTGCGGGCACATACCAAACACGACGAATGCGTCTAAACGAAAAACCATTCATGAAAAAACGCTCACGGATACCGTTCCGGATAACGATTTTATTGTTCAACGTGTGTACCTACACGTACACTTGTTTGTGTGTGCGTGCGAGGGAGAGATAGAGAGTAATATGTATTATATTATACATATATACGTAGGTATATTTTTTTTTCCAACCAGACATCGCTAGTTAATGTAGTTGCCAACACAATAATATACACTTCACATACTTATGGCGGTATGAAAAGACCGTGTTCACCGCGTAGGTATTTGTGGTCGCCACAGCTGAACCGACAACATATTATATACATAATATGATAATATATATATTAAATAATAGCCTGGCGTGTACAAAACTCGTCAAGTGTTTGTGTTTTCGTGTTTGTGTGTTGCACACTTCGTGTATAATGTATATATATATATATATAGTTATAAAAAATTACTTTTAAAAAAAAAAAACACGAAAGATAATAACAACTCTAATATATCACGTGTGTTTTGGACTTGTGAGTTTCGGTGTGTTTGACGTTACACCCATATTAATACCTACGACTTGTTTTGAACTCTAATGTAACATATCCCTATAGTAAAATCAACATGAATACCGGATACGACATAACATTACGTTAAAAATACGTTTGAATGAAAACCTGTGACACAGAAATGGTCCATCGACCGCAAAAACGTGGTATATAGGTTATCACTATGGGATCACTATTTATCCTAATAAGTACCAATCAAATCGATAATTTAGAGAAATGTATACATATATATATAAATAGGTGTATTATTATGACGATGCGAAACCTTGTGTACAATTTACTTGCGCGTGTTTAAATCAGTTAATGAGATCTTAAAACATTTAAGTTGAATACATTTACAGATTAAAATTTAAGGTGTGCAAATAATTCGAATTGGTAGCACGAAGCATAATATTATTATAGTCGTCTTAGCACAATATAATATACGTGATTACTAAGAATAGGGTCGAGATAATTCACCGATTATATATCGTGTTGAAAGCAGTCTGCATAACATTATCTGTGTACAAAAAAACGTATTGTGACTTTTAGGCATCTAATAACAATGATTTAGTGAACACACTACAATGCACAATAAACATTTCATGGGAATAATATGAGACCTATATTTCTTACAGTGTACATTCCTCGTCCAACTACCCGTGAAGAACTTATTTATTATTATAGTACTATCTTCGCGGATTAACACCGAGGTGGAAATGCAGGCATCGATAAAACAAACATTGTCGAAGTATTTACCACCACGAATAAAACGAATTCTACGAGACTGATGTATTTAAATGCAGTATAACGTCTAAGTACCAACTATGTGATTTTCAATGCAATTTTATACATTATTACATAGATTATTTTATGAATATAGTCTTATTTCGGAAAATAAATTGTTCGTGTATTCGCTAACGAGTACCTAGTTAGTTAGTCATGCAATATTTAGCATTCGAAAAACAGGTTTTAATCATTTTCCGCCACAGCGTATCAGAATAATATTATAATTTTCTCCGTTGCTGCAGCACCAGCTGCAGATGGACTTAATTAATATATGTTTTGAACACTATAAAATACCTACACAATGATATCACCCGGCTCATAAAATATTAAAATATGAGGCTGAGACCGACGTTTATTTTTTTTATTTTTTTTTTTGTATGATGACTTTAACGTGCATAATATATTTGGTATGTACCTAATACGTATACCTATTATAGTTTCTTGTATAGTGCTATATGTATAAGCACGAGAATTTCATTTCGAACCGTGTGAAAATAAAAATTTCTTCGAATTCGCATAGCAAACGGTCATTTCGTGTACAGTGTACGTCTGTTGAAGTACCTGTAGGTACATAGCAAAAAAATCAGAAACACTTTACACTGCGGTCGTATGGCTGCAGCTGCACTGCTGCAGGCTTTGCGTGAAACAGACATAATAATACATTATAACTACGTGCTCTTCCCTGTAGTTGTTTCAATGAAAAATAATAAGATTCGGGACAAAAATGAAATCAGAAATACATGGTTCGGTGATATGGGCATAGTTTCTACATTTTTCAAATATTTTCGTTTCGTCCGCCTATGTCGTTGGCCACCAAATTTAATAAAGAAAAATGTTCAATTTTCGTTTACGCCAAAATGTGTATTTAAATCCGTTTTACAAACAAATCACACCGTATCGATCCATTTAAAACTATATTCTGCTCAGAAAAAGTGGCTGCAGAAGTGCGGACCGTGGTAGTCGTTACAGCGAGTAACTGCAAAATAATACTTTATTTTTTTTTAACTGTTTGATTTCGTTTAGTTAAATACAAAAACTGTCATCAGTGGCGTAATGGATCTGGTAAAAACATGATGAAGCTTGGACGGGTGTTTAAGTTTAACTTTGCCCGCATCATGTAGACCTGTTAAAATGTGATTGATGCTATAAAAAAAATGCCTGTACGATGGCGCTGCTATTTACTATAACTTTATTATACAAACGAAAATCACGAAATACTTAGGTATTTTGCTAGTTTAACACTATAACATTTACTCGAAAACTCGTGGTTAGGTATTAGGTTCAGTTATAACGATGTAACAATATAATATTATACGCACCCGCGGCGGCGTGTCGATTAGATTTTCAACAAACTGCGGTAAAATACCAAAATATCGTAATATTATTATTTGGCAAAACCCGAAAAATAAACGACTCTTTTTCAATAGGGTGGAAACGAATAAGGCCCGGCGATATATGGCGCGCGTGAGCATAACGATATTTAGCGTGCATGAATGGACCGGGCACGAACGCACCTTTCGAACGCCGCACGTCTGAACCGGTTGCCGGCCACCGGAGAGGTGATTCCCACAGGCCGGCCGCCCGCCTGCCCGCCCGCGCGCCCAACTGCCACCGCGAGAGCCGCCGCGACATGTCAGTAGGTATACGCACCGTCGTCTCTGCGGTGGTGTCTCGTGTGCGCTCGTCCGTCCGTGTGTGTTTGTGCTGGGACCGTGTGTGTGGCCGTGTGTGTCCGGGCGGTGTGTACGTGGTGAATTCATACGCCGTGCGTGGCGATTCATCATTAGATTCGGCGCGTCGAGGCGTGTGCGTCATATGTGCTGCAGTACAAGTTGTCGCGTATGCGTCACCACGACGGAACGGGGTGAAAATGGCGTGACATGGGCGGCGTGAAGGGTTGCCAGCCGGCTTGGACAGGTGTACGGTACCAAAAGCTCACCACCCACAACAAACCCACCGACGGATGTTGGTCGTTCTCTTGTTCCGGTTGCGGCAGTGTGCAAATGTTACAGGTAAATCACCTGCACCAACCGAGGTTATCTGAGCCCCCGAGATATATTATAATGTGTTTTATTATAATAAAATATGATTTAAACATTTAACATCGCATACGACGGGGTGGACCACCCTGCTGGATATAATGTACCAAATATTATGAGTCTTATGGCACAATCGTCGACGACAGCTGAGCAAATATTATATTCCGCGCACGCGTCATAGGTACATTTGATTTGTATCCTTCTTCTATTTTTATTTCGTTTTAGGAAGATTCGCCGCGTTTGACGAATTTTTCAAATTGCAAAAACAATATTTGATAAACTCTTGAAATCGTGTTCGCTGCGTTTGTGCGGCCTTTGCGGGCAGAGTTGTTTTTATTGCGTTCGCAAACTCTATAGTTATTGTATACGTACAAACTGCTGCCGGGAGAGAAATATAAACACTTCTTTCTCACGTCCAAAAATAACAATTCCGTAGTTATGATATATACTATATAGGTTATATATATTATATATTGTACATAGTCGACGTTAGCCACGGAAAAATAAAAATCGATATCCATGTATAGATGTTTAATTAAAAGCTTAAATGCAAAAAGTACATCAAGTATACGATTATTGTTTTTTATTCTCGTAGTGCAGCACTGCATTGCATTCAATATATATATTAGTATATACACGGTATAGGTAGGCACCTAAATGTCAATATTATTGTCCTTAAGCCATTTTCTCGGCTAACCGCTTTCGATAATATCTGTCTATAACTATGATTTAGTACCGTAGGTACATGTTATTTGATTACAAATCAAGGAGAAATATATTTAAAAAGCCCTCGTTAGGTAATATGATAATACGGGGGGATGTGCTACTCAGATTCCCCAAGCAGATGGTCATATTGGTTGACTCATCGTCGTCTAACGACATTCTTTAAGCATCGCCTAGAGTTTACTATCATCCGTTTTAATTGACAGCATTGTTTTATATTTATATACTGTTTGTGCAAAGTTTCACACTGCCATTCAACAAAAAAGGGTTCTTACATTATTTTATATCAATATTTAATAAAAAAAAAACGAATATACAAATATACAAATTTCAATAAAGTGCATTTAATTTAGAAGGATGTCAGATTGTCAGTGCACTATTTATTTTCTCTTTTTGACACACGCGCTACATTTTCCGATCAGCAGAACCAATACCATGTTTTTTTAATATTAATAATATAGTGAATTGATCTATTATCAAAGTTAATATTAAGGGTATAAGCTGTGTTATAAGTTGGTTTTGTACGGTATTTACATATTTTTTTGCGTAGATGGGTATGTAAAATATTAAAATTTAAAAATGCCCATGTATCGCATAAAGATTGAAATATTGTAAAAACACAGATAGTATTATTAAGTGTACATTTTTAACAGTTAACATCTGTGTTGGTCAATTCAGTCTAATATTAAAGCTAACAACACAAGATTTGTTTAAGTGAACACAAATTTCACCTGTTACAATGTATCTGAGTGAGAAAAAAATAGTTCGTTGACATCCTCTTAAAAACAACTATTAACTATAAACAAGCATCGAAATCGTTATTTTCCAATACTAGGTATAAGTATGTATAGGGAGAGAGCATAATATACATATCGGTATATAATATATACCATATACTATAGATTATTGATCGTGAGTGTCAGAATTACATTAAAATTTACAAAAGTATTGGATTAAAAAAGATATTAATTGTATTCATAACGTGACTAGTCCAACAAGTTTTTAAAAATTAGTTTCACATTTTTTTTTTCATTTTCTGTATTAGTAAAATTAAAAGTAATAATTGTCCACCTTGGCCATACAGAACACTATTGCCATATGCCCACCACAATGCTAGGTAAGGGTCAACATAGGTCATTGTAGTTTAAAAAAATCCTCGACATAAAACCTGTATCTTCCTGAAATACCAAACGGCAGTTGGTCGGCCGGAAGCATTCGAGTGCAATGCCATGTAACTTGTGTGAAATAGATGTCTGGATTTTGTGGAAAACGCGTGTTGCGTTCTAATACAGTCTTCGGGCAACATTTTATAATCACGCCTTTTGTGTGAAATGAGAAAAAAACTATCAAACGCAAAGGGTGATAAAACAAAAAAAAAATGCAGCACAAAACTATGACATCCTCGAAATGTATAAACAGATGGTTTATTAGGGATTGTTTTACTGTAGTATAGCGTGTAGTATGTTATTATAATATTCCAAGAGTATAATCTCAAATGCCCTGAGGATAGTAAAAACAATTGTGTAGGTATATATAGTGATTTATGTAAACCGGTGGCATATTTCGATACCTATAATAATAAATTATAAAATAATAATTTGTAATGTCCATACTTAAAAATGAAATGTTATCAATTTAAAAAAAATACAGTAGGTATATATATATATATATATATATATATTAAATAACACTATTGTTTTTTTTTTTTATATAAGTTGTACAGGTGGGAGGTGCACACTTGTATAAGGGTATAACACAAAATATACTTTTAACTTAAAATTATTATTTCTTAAAATCTCTGTGTATTTCTGATATTGTCAATATAATGAAAAAGTAGCTTTTATCTTTAAATACCGATTCTATGGTATAATTTACATTCAAATAAAATTTGGTTCTTATATAATATATTCGTGACCGTTAACAAAAATTGATTGAAATATTCGGTGTCAAAATCTAAGGAGTTTTGAATTTTTGTAAATTATTAAAAAATACATACAATATTGTTCAACTATATAATATACTGTTATATATTGCAGGTTTCATAATAATTGAGAACTGATAAATAATAAAGCAACTTATCAACTTACAACTATGTATGAAAAGTTCGTTTAGTATTATTAAATTATTAAATTGTACACTGCATAATATTTGAAAGATTCATAAATAATAGTTGATTACTATTAATAATTATCAAAGGTTCCGGACAAAAAAAACTAGTATGTCATAATAATATGCAGTTTTAATTAAAAGAATGCCTTGAAATCATGTTTAACGATTTTCTTTTGTAATGAACCCCCAAAAACACACACGTCACCCCTAAATATTTTTTTTATTACAATTCACACAAGGGGGAATGTCTTTGAAAGCTAATAAAACAGCAGGGAAATTCTCTTAATTGTTCATAAAAAAATATTACAGCTAGGTAGTTGTTAATGTATTAATCTTATAATTTTGTATTTTAATTCAAATATTATACTCAGGTATCAGAAGATTGTAAATATTTGTACGGAAAAATCGTTTTTATATAATATATTATAATACCTATTTATATATATTTATAAAAACTCTTAGAATTCAATTTTATCTTAAAATATACCATTGATGATTTTATAAACCATAGGTATATTATATAATATTATAGAGAGCTGTATTACCCGTGGTTGCCCGGGGAATAATAATACCGATATAATCCTGCGGCGAATAGAAATAACTTCTTTCGTGAACTCATTGTCTTCTGAGTTATCATACATTAGGTAAATTATTTTCGGTGGGTATAAATGGGATAACGATTTTTTAAATGGCTGCAATGCACATTTCCATAATATTGAGATGTCTGGTTGTTGCATCCACGTTTTCAATTGCAACAAGAAATAAATGAATATGTGGTTATGATTTTAATATTATTTATGGCTGATAAGCTTAAATAACTGGTTCGATCTTTCATCTAAATCTAAACATTTCTTGAATCGGTAGAATATTTTTTGTTTCTATAAATCGCAACCATACACTTTCCCTTTTATACAAATAGGTAATAACTGTTGGCCGTGGCTTCTATTCTTATACCCTTGGGCCCGAGATCCCAAGTAATATTAGTGCAAAACTTGGCACCAATTGGTCAAAAACTGTGGATTTGCATATGCGACATAGGTAACTCGACTAATACTATCTATTAAAGTCTATCTGACTATCTACTATAATCTATGTATTAATCGTTTCCATTTTGCTTCGGTTTAATTAATATTGTCAAATGTTTTTTTTGTCAAAATCGGTCTAGCGTTTTTTAAATACTTATATAAACTTCAACCATACACTTTACTTCTAATATATAACGGCTGTTACTCAATTTTATATTTATATAGAATAACTTTATTACCTAAATAGCACACTATAATAAATACAAAAAATTATATCCAATCATAGGTAATAACTATTTTATTAACTGTATCCACTACCCAATAACAATACCCTATATATAAACAAAAAAAAATTCAATTTTCGTGAGCCAAAACTAAATTCTTGTGTGTGCCATCCTAGCTATAGCGACATAATATATGGGTTGAAAAAACTTCACAGAGTCTCAAGGAATCTATTGATATAACTTTTATGGAAAACGGTCAAGTAGTTTTATAATTTATAGCTAATAAGAAAAAAACGTTACTTTTTATATAGGTACATGTATAGATTTACGTCATAGTCAGTGTTTTTAAAGTTGATTGTTTTTTAATCAAAATATTATCCTTATTTCCGGATATTAACATAATAACATCATAACGAAAGAAACATTTTTCAAAAAAACAATTATATGGGTTCCTAAAAAATTTTGTTTAAAATTGAAACAACGTCGGTATATTTTATATAATGAACTAGTTACTAAAGCATTTTAAGATTAATAGTTGTATTATTAGACACGGTGCTCAGCGACTCTATATATGCTATACACACATTAATAACAGCTGTTGTTAAATACATGTTTCCTTTCATAAAATGTTAATCATGTCAAGCCTTGTTTACATAATTAAGTTATTAACTAATGATTTGCAAGAAAATTCTATAGACCGTATACTTATTAAGATAAATTATTAGACTGTTGGGCTTGTTATTCAGAGCTACTGATACGTATCAAATATTTAAATTAAATATAGATAATTAATCAAATGTTGCACCTACTTTTGTACTATAATTTTATTTAATTATGATTTCTGATACAATTTCTATATGGTCAGTTATTTAACAGATACTGGTAGGTCCAT